GCTCAAACGAAGGACGCCGCCCACTGCTTCCCTGACCGAACTGGCTTAGCTACTATTAGTAAATAACCAGGAAAAAAGGAGTTATATTTAAAAGATTAAAGAAATGCGTGCAGTGTGTGCCGTACACTTTTTGTCTTGAAATATTTGCTATATACAGAGATCGGGAGCCGGGAGGGGAATACTTAACTGTGCAAGTAGAATGTTTAAAGGAAATTAATTGCCGAAAAGCAACAAAGTGGGAAGGTGAAGCAAAGGAAGGATGCGTAGCTTGTAAGTTAATCGCCTCAAATATATACGTAATATAGGTCCCATTTCCTAAGCGTGTAGAACGTAATTACGTTTTGATGCTTCCAAGTCTCATCTACTATCTCCCTCCTCTCCTCTCCTCTCTGTCACCTTTCTACGTGCTGCTGTCCATTTGTTTCCATTTCTGAAATAAAATGAGTTTTGTAGGTAAAATTTGGGGTGAATTTTGAACTTTAAAATCTATTGAGGAAAAACCACCTTAAACGCGGATACCTTTCTACTTTATTTTTTGGCTTTTTATGACAATACTTACTCTATCGTTCTGATTCATGACGTTATCATGCATTTCTGTTAGTGTGTTCAACATAAGGAATCAATTACTTGAATAATTATTTAAGAAATCGCCTAAAACTGGTAGTTTATCTCTCATACTTGAACAACCAAGTATTATTTCGATTTATGACTCCAAGCACGTGAACATCCACACCTGGATAGTAGCACCCATTTTCATGTTACTTTGACGACAAAGTTTGAAAAAAGTAATACGAATAAAGAACTGTTGCATGCTTTAGATTGTTTATGGGAAGATTAAATGTGCTCTAACAAAATAACGTTTATGATTGCATTTGTCATAAAAAGTTAAGCATGTTTATCGGTCATATAAACACTTTATAAGGAAGCACTTGCTACATGCGTTGTATCCATGTTGGACTGAAATATTCGGCCCATTCGAGGGCCCAAGGAATGAAAAATGCCAGTTTAGACACTTGCTAGTTCACATTAAGCATTAGAGGGCTTGTGGACTGTGCCATTCCCTTTCCCTAGTTGGGTTTTTACTGAACGCAACAAGGCCTAGTTTGAGATACCCAAACATACATGCGACCAGGCATTGGCCCAGTTTGAATCCAGTCCGAACCATGTATGAAAAAAGACCAACTAATTTGCGCGGTCAGTTCTTTGGAGCTTATCGTACAATTATACGAACTTTGTCTAAGCAAACTAAAACATATTCAAGAACGTGAACTCCAAGCGAATTTTATAAGTTGAGTCATTTTTTTCATTGTCAATTAGTTTAAAGATAGAAGCTCATGATATCAGGATAAATTAGCGCACATATTGAGCTTAACGTTGCACGTGAAATCAAAATGAAACAAAAATGATGAATGATTAGATGAGGAAACGAGAAAAACAAATTAATTAAGCACTGCAATTACTGTATAATGGAAATGAGGAAACCACATCCAGTTGCACAAAATGAGCGGAGATTGGAAAAAGGAAGACTCGTTGGAATATTCTTAATTACTTAAACAAGAAAAAGAAAAGACGGGCAAATACTTAGAGACCCAAAAGCAACTTTTTGATTTCTTTTTTCTGGACTCAGGAAAAATATAACCAAAGAAAAAGAAGAAGTAGGAAAATCAGCAAAGTCCGTGGAGTCGCTGTTTGATAAAGAAGGTTCCACGTGATTGGCTCGTTACCATGTGGTCCGCCGCCTACGACAAAACTGAAAGATCAAAGTCCAGCCTTAGGATAGAACCGTCTTGATTTTTTTTGGCCGAGGGGCATTTTCGTCCTATCAATTTTGTCGAAGCCAGTGACACCAAGATGGAGCTCTAGCTTTATATATAAGAGATAAGAGATGTATGTATGTGTCTATTGCAATATTTGTGTTTTTTACAAAAAAAAAATTAGAAAAAAAAAAGGGAGCTGGCGCTCTTATCCTAGGGATCCAGAATCTCCCTTTCAGCCAACTTGAGTAGGCAAGAAATAAAATATTTAAAGCTAAGTTGGTTTCTCTCATGAGTCATGAGTGACCAAAATTGCCCCCCAAAAGCTTACAAGTGAGATCGTATATCACGTGGAGTTGCGATCTGGCCGCCCAGTACTATTGTATTGGTGGTTTTGATGAATATGAACAATATACGCCCTTCACTCCTTCAGTTGAGTGTGTGTGTGTGTGTGTGTGTGTAAGTACTTCCAATATGAACAATATACTTGTTTTTAGTTTTGATAAATAATAATTTTAATATTAATTAATAGTGAATCGTTGAATCTGCTTTTAAAAATGAAGGGCATGATTGACAGAGGGTCTTGGGACCACTGGGCCCTGTGATATAGCGGAACAAGGGTAAGGGAATTTTATCTCTCTCATGAGTATGAACTCATGAGGGTACTGGAATTGCACGCACTTGCACACCAGTTGTTACCATATTTGTATTTTCTTTTCCTTTTCCAACGGTGAGCCGATCGAGCCTAGCAATCTCTGGTCCTCAGTCAACTCAAGTCTGAAATCTGGATCCACACTCGAAACTCCAGACTCCAGAGGAGCAAAATATATTTATTTGTTTATTAAAATGAAAGGAAACAACAACAACAACAATAACATGTCACGCTGCAGCACTTTAAGAAAATAAATGAAAAATAACACAAGATTCTTTACTCTACTACTCTGTCATATATATATATATATATATATATATGTATATATATATATCTGGGCATGTGTCATGAGAATTGAGAAATACTTAATAAACATAGTTGGAAAATGTATGAGTTTATGAGATGAGGATTGAGGGATGCATGTGCATGCATGCACATGCATATATAAAGTGATACATTACAGACCCACACACAAAGAGACACAGTCACACACACAGCCTCTGTCTTTCCGAAATTAACATCGTCAACGGCTACAATTGCACGGCAATAGATTCAAGCCGGCCAACAAATCTAGTGGTCCCTCTACCATTTTATCATTTCTTAATTATCAAGATTAATTAAAAGAATGAAACTGTTATTAGCACTCAAAAACTCTCATTCTACATTCCTCACAAATATATATATATATTTTTTTTTTCTAATTATAGAAAGCTTGGAGTGCAAAATGAGATTTTTTTAAGTGCCGATAACAATTCTCTAAACCACTTTAAATTTTTTATTATACACTTCAAAATTTTTATATTCAAAAAGAAAAATACAATTGTAAGGCATGCAAAATATAAATTTTAAAGTGTCTATTACAGTTCTCTTAATTAATTAAGTCGTTCATTTAGGATTTAGAAAATTAGGTGTTACACAAGTCCTATTTATAGCTTTACTTATTTCCTTCAAATATCCATATGTTGTGTACGGATGGGATGCATTTACTGTAAAACATGACTGGGTAGTGGGTTTACCTAGCAATATTCTCCCTTTCCCTCTCTTCTTCTACATTTTTTTTTTTTTAAGAAATGATAAGGAGACTTTCTTAAAGTGTAATTTTCTATGAACTATCTGCTATCTCACCCGTTAAATTTAATTCTTGTGCCAACATTTTGAAACATTATACAAAACACATGAATTGACAGATAGTCTAACTTTTGAGAACCTCCTTAGCATTTTTTTTTTTTTTTTTAAAGTGTTTGTACATTGTTTTAAAAACAAGGAACTTTCTATACTCACTCTTTTGTATACCATACGTTTAATCAAAATACCTACTAGGATAATGCTATTAACATACACATTTTTAATTTCCGCATATCCTTATTAATTTTTTGTCATTGATGTTCTTCAATTTATTTAATCCAACAATTAAAAATTAAAATAGTATGTAAAAAATAAAAATTAGTGTGTGGATCGCACTATCCGGTGTTTCCTATCCACTAATTGTTACAATTTCTTCTACTAGTAATGAAAGCTAGTTGTGCTGTGATAAATTGCGACTGCTTTAAAATGTGGTTTTCATTACATGAGGTATATATTAATTCCTTCTAAACTTAAAATTGGGATTCATGAGAACTAAGACTTCACCAAAATCGTAACCAAATACCAATACTGTTAGGATCATGCTACATAGATCATCTTTATAAATCATGTTTTGTAGGTTATATGAGGAGATGGTTGATGACTGAATTTTTTTTAATCATTAAAAATAAAATTCAACCATCAACAGCCACATCATATAATTAATAAAATATCGTTTAAAAAAATGGTTTATAAAATATAATATAAAAAGATATTCTTGTTCATACTTTTATAAAGTTTGTAATCCTACATTCAATGGACCATGATTTTCATAATCTACAAAGCCTTTCCACCTTCAATGAATTCCATATTGAAAGGATTGTTTTCCATATATATGTTTTTTATTTCCTAATTCTTCTAACCATCGTTTTTTTGCTTTTGTTTCTAAATATGACAGACGCGTTTTAAATTACTTTTGTAACGTTCTTCATAAATTATCCTTCACCAACATAAACACAGCTCGGGAATTGACACAGGATATCATTTATACTAGAATTATTTCCTTATTAATTTCAATTTGTAGTTTGTGATAAAATCAACTTACAATAATTTTAATCGGGCAATACCAGCATTACTTTTGGTTGAAAAGAACTTCGTTGAAAAAAAGGAGACAATTCCAAATGACCATTATCAGAAAAAGATAAAAGTAATTTACAGAAAGTCCCCTAGATTTATTTAAATTACAGTCGCAGGAGGTAATCGGAAAAACACCTCAAAGAGTTGGAACTCTATTCCGAACGAACACCCTTTTGTCGAGAAATTTTTAGTAGCGACACACAAGTTGTACATCACGTGATGCACCAACCCGTCTACTGATCATATTGAAAACTCTCTTTTTCTTTTGTCGCCTTCTAATTCCACGTGTTAAAAAACAGATACCCGGATCCACGCAAGAAGCTACGCGCGTGCAACTAGCAATATTGAATGCAATAATAAAAGTTAAATACTCCTACGTTGCCAAACACGATTAAAGGGAGCGACTCAAAAATTTCTCCCAGTCTTGCAGTCCTTTCCGTCTTCGCCATTCCTCTCCTTTTCCAATGGACTCTCTCACTCTCTTTTGTACGGGCGCTCTCCTCGCCGGCGGGATCTATTGGTTTGTCTGCATTCTTGGCCCTGCCGAGCGAAAAGGCAAACGTGCCATGGATCTCTCCGGTGGCTCCATCTCCGCCGAGAAAGTTCAAGATAGCTACGACAAATATTGGTCCTTTTTCCGCCGCCCAAAAGAGATCGAAACGGCCGAGAAAGTCCCCGACTTTGTGGACACCTTTTACAACTTAGTCACCGATATTTACGAGTGGGGTTGGGGCCAGTCCTTTCACTTCTCCCCGCACGTCCCCGGCAAGTCCCATAAGGACGCCACGCGCCTCCACGAGGAGATGGCCGTCGATCTCATCCACGTCAAACCCGGAGACAGAATTCTCGACGTCGGATGCGGCGTAGGTGGGCCTATGCGTGCCATCGCGGCCCACTCGCGTGCCAACGTCACGGGGATCACGATCAACGAGTACCAGGTTAAACGGGCGCGTCAGCACAATAAGAAGGCCGGCCTCGACTCGCTCTGCGAGGTCATCTGCGGGAACTTCCTCGAGATGCCGTTCCCGGAGAACAGCTTTGACGGCGCGTACTCAATCGAGGCGACATGCCACGCGCCGAAGCTGGAGGAGGTGTACGCCGAGATCTTCAAGGTTCTGAAGCCGGGGGCTCTGTACGTGTCGTACGAGTGGGTGACGACGGACAAGTACAAGGGTGACGACGCCGAACACGTGGATGTCATTCAGGGGATCGAGAGAGGAGACGCCCTGCCGGGACTCAGGAGCTATACGGATATTGCGGAGACGGCGAGGAAGGTCGGGTTCGAGGTGGTGAAGGAGAAAGATCTGGCCAAGCCGCCGGCGCAACCCTGGTGGAATCGATTGAAGATGGGGAGGATCGCATACTGGCGCAACCACATTCTGGTGACGGTGCTCGCCGCCGTCGGAATTGCACCGAAAGGAACCGTGGATGTGCACGAGATGCTGTTCAAAACCGCCGACTTTTTGACCAGGGGCGGCGAAACCGGAATCTTCAGTCCGATGCACATGATTCTCTGCCGGAAGCCCGAGACAGCCAAATCATCTTAATTTCCCGTATCGCCGGTGCACCCCCGCGTCCCTTTAGCCCCTTTTTGTTGTATTTTATTTTTGTGTTATCTTGTTTTAATAATCTTTCTAATCTAGGTTTGTTTTCCTTTTTTTTTTTTCTTCGTTTACTTGACCTGCTAATTTATTATCATTCTCTTGTAATTTTGTTTTGGAATTATTTAAGTTCGTGGTTGGATAGATCGGATCTTTGCTCCGTTTTGTTTAATTTCTTTGATATTTTTTTATTTCAGCATTGCCTTAAATTATGTGCCTAATTTCTTGTGTGCATTGTCTTTTGAATTTAACGTTTCAAAATTCTTAAGTTAATAATGAATTTGTGCCACATAAGGACAATGTTGAGCTGTTAATTGCGATGTATACAATACATTGATGAACACTAGGACTTTTGTCATGTAACGTGACAACATGATCAAAGGGTTATTGAGTGTTTGTGATTTAGCGATGAGAAATGAAGTGAACGCGTTCATGAATACTGATGCATTAACTACTAGTTCAATTTACATAATTTGAGTATTAATTTTTGGTTACATATGATTGTGTTATTGAACTAGACATCAACGTATCCAATAAGTGTAAGTCATTCTCTCATTTTCTTCAAGAGGGATGAAAGGGTGGCAGTGCGAACTGGTGAAATCAACCAGCCATGTTAATGTATGGTGTATGGTACAATTGGCAAGCAGCGTGGAAAGTCGGGGGGAGCCCTTGACTCGTGTGCTGTTGGCCGTTGGAGTAGCGCAGCGGAGTGAGTTCAGATTTCAGAAACTGAGTGTGTCAGTCACAGTGGCGCCAAATCTGTGTTGGCACTTGGCAGTTTGTTTGGCTCTGTGTCACGTTGCTCTTGGTGTTTAGCTACGCCTGCCAACATGCCGACATATCTGGGCCCACACCCACCCGGGTTTGGTTTGGTTTAGTTTAGACTTAGTTGGTTGGGTTGGTTTGGGTTTGGATCTCTCTCATCTCATCCCACCCCGATTGTTTTCTTTGTTTTCCATGCTACTTTGCCTGCCGCTGCCACCAGTCTTTTCATTTTCTTTATAATTTTCGGCACGTGACTCGCCACCCTGTATTTGTTGGCACATAATAATCTTATTATTAATGGCTTATTCTTTTCCCTAAGTTATAATTGTATTATTAATGGCACATAATTATATCAATGTGGTAGAGTCTCACATTGAGAAAGTTTTATTGGTATTTCTCTTTTGTACGTGTATTGAATAATTTGTATATGAGTATTATCTTGCCTTGTTATCTACGTTCTACTTTGGTGCTACGTACCAATAAATATTATGAGTATTGAATAGTTTGAATTCACGAGACCATAATTAAAGTCATAATCTAAATAATTATTCAATGCTCGTAACATTTTATATCACGTAACATGCAATAATTTTCCTTATTGTCTGTCTTGAGTCATAAATATGAGTAAATGTGTTAATTAATAAGTTTTTCTCACTTATTAAATTGATTGAAGTGGCACTTGAAATGCTTTGCCAATTGCCATATGGGAATATTTTTGCTCACTACTTCCAAGTGATGGTGATACTCACCACTTTATTTACCACCGTTAAATGAGTTTAATTTTCGAGATTTATGTTATAGATAAATAGAAATATCTAAATTTTAACTCATCCAATAATAATATATAAGGTAATGAACATTACCACCACTTGAAGATGGTGAGCAAAAATACAATTGCTATCATATTTTCCTTTTTTTTGGGGATAGTTGATGAGCACGAGATATCTTTTTGGTGTTGTTGGAAAATCATATACAACAATGCCTTTTAAGAATATTGTTACGAATGATGCGTTTTCTCAAGCTACGAATGATGCGTTTTAGTTTTTTTTTGCATAACAATACATGTATGCATGAATAAGAATATTGTTACGGTTGCATTCCAATTACCTGAAAAACCACTTGATATTTTGAAGGGGGCACAATTCAATTACAAATTTGGAAGAAAAACTTTGTGAAAGGCGATTGGTGTTCTTTTGACTAAGCCATCCCCCAAGGCCCTTAATTTGTAGGCACGAAAAAGATGGGTCTTCTCACTAAGCCTGGATATTTTTTGGGTCTGTGGAATTGAAGGTTCATTATTCATGTTTGATTTGTCAAAACTCAAAGTTGTGGTTCTACCTGATTGCGTGAATCTAGCAAACATTGTTCCTACCCAAAAATATCCAGTGATATATGTTAGTGTTATATCCAGATTCCAAGTGGCTCTAAACTTCCAAATCCAATACTTCTAATTTCTATTTGATTATTTTAGCGGTGCATCATAACTGATATGAGAATCTTTCTCCTCACTACACTTCTGTCCAAGCTTTTTCGCTGAAGTAATTTTTTTGGGTCGAAGTCCCTAAAGTACTAGAGTTTTTATAAAACTATTTGCGGCATAAACGCTTACGAGCACAAGTTTTTATGAGTTCCTATTATGATGGGGTTGATTTGTGGAGTTCTTGGCACCTTTTGATTGAAATTAGATAGTGCAAGTTAAAACTAGGTGTATGGTACAAGCTAACACACTATAGTACATGAAGCGATACAAACGTCATTACGATGTTAATAGATCGTTATGTTGACGTATTGATACAAATTAAAGACGTCACTATCAACAATGTCTACCCAATATCAATTGTAACTTCTCAGATCTCATTTGCCGGTCTTTCCTTTCTTCATCGTGTCCACTTTCATTGCAACTACCATTGAAAACATCGCAACTTGATTTTCTTAGCCACCACCAGGACGATCTTCATGGTCCCTCTCTAATCCAATGTTGTTTGACCTTTTGTATACAACTCTTGTTTTAACCTCATCTCTTGGTTTGAATTTAACAGCAAGAATTCATTTTCCAAAACGTCTCTTATTATAAGAACACTTCCAAACGGACCAGTTAAAGTATAATTTGAAGGTGGATGTCCGTTGTTCAACAATTTGTTGTTACTCAAACCCATTTGAAATGAAGAAGTAGTAGTACTGTAGTCTTACAAGCCCATATTTTGTGGATCAATGATTTTAGCCTACTATTACAACCTTAATCTGATATTATGGGCCCGCTTCATATCAAGAGAAATTGAAAACCACAAAAGAAGATATTTTCAAAAAAAATCACCCATATATTCCGTCGGTGGATAATACCAATCACAAAAAGCAGTGGCCACTGAGATTTCAAGATAATTCCACACCAGAGTCTCCTACGACTCTCATAGGTTTGAATAAGCAAAGCAACGCAAACCAAATCTTCCGACCCTGTCTTCAATGGCGACCATCACAAATTTCATAGTCAAACCAGCTTCGTCATCTCAATCTTCAATCCCAAGAACAAGTTGTTTTGTTGCTAAAGGTTTAAGTTTGGTGACGAAGCTTAAACCTTTAGCAACAAAACTTGAAACGAAAAAAAATCAATTCCGCAACTTCGCCATCAAGGCCACAGCCGCCGCCGGCACTAATAAGGTCGAAGGTGACGAGAGAGTTCAGCAAGTGCACAGCATCCAGGAATTCGATGAGGCCCTTGGGTTGGCAAAAAATAAGCTTGTTGTCGTCGAGTTTGCCGCCAGCGACAGCGCCGAGAGCAGAAAAATGTACCCTTTTATGGTCGACCTCAGCCGCACATGTAACGATGTCGAGTTTTTATTGGTCATGGGCGACGAGTCGGAAGACACCCGAGAGCTCTGCAGGAGAGAGAACATCGACAAAGTCCCCCACTTCAGCTTCTACAAGAGCATGGAGAAGATTCACGAGGAGGAAGGAATCGATGGTGATCGGCTGAGGGGGGACGTATTGTACTACGGAGACAACCACTCTGAGGTGGTACAGCTGCATCAGAGGGAGGACGTGGAGAAGCTGATCGAGGAGCATAAGGCGGACAGCAAGCTGATTGTGCTTGACGTGGGGCTCAAGCACTGTGGGCCATGTGTCAAGGTATATCCGACGGTGGTGAAGCTGTCGAAGCGAATGTCGGACACGGTGGTGTTTGCGAGGATGAACGGCGATGAGAACGACAGCTGCCTGCAGTTCCTCAAGGACATGGAGGTGGTGGAGGTGCCTACTTTCCTGTTCATTAGAGACGGCGAGATTTGTGGAAGGTATGTGGGTTCTGGGAAAGGTGAGCTTATTGGTGAAATTCTAAGATACCAAGGAGTCCGTGTGACTTATTAGGATAATTATCAACAAATTAGAAAAAATTGAAATTTAATTTTACAAAATTTGTACTTTATTTATTTATGTGACCAGTATACATGAAGTTGAATTAGACTTCAGATTTGAACTAATTTTTGAATGAAATGGGTTATTTTTTGTTATTAAGGTTAATATGTTTTAGCCCAAGAAAAGAGTATTTAGCTTCAACCTTAATTATGAACCTAGTCTATAATACTCTTGAATGAGATAAACTTTTATATGATTGTCTTGTATGAGCAACGCTCACATAAAGTCAGATACTAGAATAAAAAGAATTTCTCATGCTTTGTATGAGAGATGATTCGGCCTTCCAGTAGAGAGAAATTATGTATCCGGATCGAAAAGATTCACCCGTAGTAGATAAGGGGGCAAAGCCAGAGGCAAGGCTATAGGCGCCTATGAGAGACTCCAGAAGCTCTACTGAAGCTGAATATAAAGCTCTTGCCCATGCTGTTGCAGACATAGCATGGATCAGACTTGTCAGTGCAATCTTGCCCAATCCACCTCAATTATACTATGATAATCAGTCCGCAATTGCCTTAAGTTTGAATCCCATACAACATTCAAGGATTAAACATTTGGAAACTGATTTCCATTTTGTTCGTGAAAGAGTGCAGAAAGGTGATTTGGAAGTCTTATATGTCCCTACTCAAGATCAAGAGGCTGATGTTCTTACCAAAGGTCTTCATGGACCTGATTTTCTTAAACACTGTCACAATCTTAAACTAGGAATTCCCAGTAAAGATTTGGGGGGTATTGGATGTATATGACACCTAGGCATTTGACACATCAGCAATTGCTTAGTGCAAAGGGTTTGTCGGTTTATCTTAAAAGTGGATAATATTAAGGATCGTTCTCTCTCTTGTAATAACTAACTTTGTAAGAATTCAGATATAGCAAATACAGAGCTCTATAGCTTTCTTCTTGGTAAAACTTCTTCATTACGCCTTCTGCATTTATTTCATGATTTCATTCTATAGTGTCAATACTATCACTATGGATTAAGGTTCGCAACAGTTTGTTCATTGCCAGAAAAATCATTGGGCCAAAACCCCAAACTTACCACCCGTTTGTGTGAGTGGGCATGTCACAGATTCAGAAGAAGTTGCCTAGTCGTTTACAAAGATCGGAGCCAGTCGAAGTTGGTCAGCTGTGTATTATTATTATTATTTTAACAAACAATATTATCTGAGAAGAGATACGAGAATCGAACCTAAGATTTCTCATTTACAAGTAAAGAGGAATATCACTGGACTGTAGTAATAAGTGGCAACTATGTATTATTATTGAGAAAAATAATGGATATGCAGGTATGCTACGGAGTATATTACTGATTGCAAGGGTCACCGAGTCTCACAGTATCCAAACACGGAGGGCACCAATTGACCTTTACTTGTCACCTTGTTTCTGAGAATTGAACCTGAAATTGGTGTTATAAAGTTGCAAATCTTGGTTAAATGCATTCTAGCCCTTCATTCAGGTATCAATATTACTAGCTGGTAGCCCTTCATTCAAGTAAAAATAGGTGTGGGAGTATCACCACCTTATTACTAAGTTCGAACCCCAATTTTACCATAAAATAATTATGACAATCACAATTTCCCAAATAAAGAGGGGAAAAATTTCACTCTAGTTAATAAGATTTTGTGTCGGAGCGTTTTGGATGAAACTCGAACAGAGGTATCAGATTACATAATCAATAAAGCACATTTCATAAAAAGAAAATAAATAAACTACTTATTTGGATATATGACCTCAATCTAATTTCACAGGGCGTGAGACATGTCATACTAGAAATAGCTCTATAAAATTGTCATGCTGCGGTCCAAATGTGAATCTTTTGCATGAAATCATACGTGAAATCAGCATAGGGTCGTTCCAAAAAGCTGTTAGGTGTAAGTAAACAGTGTGATGGCATTATTTTAGTACAATAATTAATCTCAATTATGATATATATATACGTGTCATCTGTTCTGGCTAAGACAGATTGTAGCATCCCCAATTAATCTTACAATAATTTGGAATTGACAGGGAACCACCAGTCAATTAGTTAACCTTGTTCAGTTGTGGCAGCTACCTCCCTGATATGTATTACCCAAATTTGACCTAATTATTTTTATACGTGGTCAATTTCCATCAATTAGAAAAAGAAGTATAAATCAAAGAAAAACTAATGAAAATGGTTTGAAAACTTTGAGTTTTAACAATAAAGACAAAATAAATGGTAAAGTGAATAGTATCAGGTTTGACATTTTAGTGTAAAAATATGATTTTTCGTTAAATTGAATAGCTACTACGAGCTTTTTTATTAAAACTCCCCTAACTTAAACATCTTGCACCACATCCAAATAAGTAAATTAAACATCATCAAAAGATTTTTTTAATTTATTTTTTATATAAAAAAAGTACAATAATTATTAAAGTTCTACACGTATAAATTGAGGATATGGTGGTTTATGGGTCTTGATAAAAGTCTTGCCAGGTATTTCAACTCGAACGAAGAAAAAAAAGCATACCGCAAATTCTTCTTCTCTTCAATGTGACCAAAAAGACCTTGTGGATCCGAACTTTTGTCTCATACATGTGTCTGTATTAACACAATCAAAAGCATAGTTGAACGCAAGAAAACTAAACCATGTGACCAGAAGGACCTTGTGGATCCTAACTTTTGTCTCATACACGTGTCTGTATTAACATAATTACCCATCAAAGCAGGGAACAATTCAAACTTCTTCACAAATTCTTACACCCTAATTTACATATTTGGGAACAAATCTAATTAAAAAGAGGAGGGCAACACTAGTCTAAAAAAGAATTAATTTATGATAAACCGCAACAATTACGAACAATTTAAATTAATTAATTTGCTCTGACCATGGGTTTCAGTTCTAGAGGACTAGGAGGAGCCATTGTTCTTCTCTTCCATAGATTAATTTCTTTCCTTGGCTGCAAAGGCACTTGATGTAATTGATTTATTCCTCCAATCCCTAGAGGCGCCGAGAATGCAATTCTCACATCTTCTCTCTCTTCTCTCTCCTCATCAGAATAATCGAGATGATCATTCATAATATCATGAGGACGTTCCCAATCCAAGTTTTCGAAAGATTGGCCACGTCCGCTTGCAAATCTCTTCATCTGACTCAATGAAGGCGCTCTATCCGGAAGATTTGGAGCCGTCCGATCACGATCAAGATCACTAGCATCAGATTCAGATTTTCTTCCAGGGTTTATGTTGCTAAACATCCTCCGGAACGGAAAACCGTGCTTCTTGATCTCCCGTGGCGACCACGGGCCTGGAGGAGGCTTTGATTTTTGACGATCTTTAGGGATCAAATCAACGCTATTTATCTTGTTAGTGTGTTTCTTGTGCTTGATCTGTCCCATGCACGAAACCTTCGGCGATGTCGGCTCTTCTTCTCGTGTCTGGCCGTCAAAGCTTCCGTTCTTCTGTTTCCTTCGGACTTGATCTGGAATCATTAAAGGGCCGGAAAACCCTCGCCGCCCGTGAGCTTTAAGCTTGGCGGCGGCGTCTCCGGTAGGGCTGTAAGGAGGGTTGTGAAAATAAACACCGGAAGCAGCTTTTGGTAGAAACTTCAAGATCTTGTTTTTTGGTTTACCTTGTTTCTGATGATCCATTGTTGTAAAAGAAAACCCTAATCTTTTCGCACGCTTGGAAGTTGAGGAGGATAATGAAATTGTCTTGAATCGCTTATCCAGCAACACTACTTATATATATATCTGTAAAACTACACACACACACATATATATATAGATATATTTGTGTACTTATATGACAATGTCAAGAAAAGAGAGGGGTTGGTCAAACAAGGGAGGTGCGTGTGAGTGTGTGACCTAGCGAATCATAATTGCTCGATTGAATTAAATAATACAGCTTGCGTTTGATGCAGCTTTCCGGATTTTTCTGCACGATATTTAATTTAGATTCAACGTTTTTTTCTATCTACGGGCAAAAATCGAATTTAATAACTAAGCAATGCGTAGGAATTGACTTGTCTAGCCTTTCTGGGGGCCCTTTCATCCAATCATTGAACGCGGATTTGAAAGATAATCATGACAAATTTGAAATTGGAAAATATAAGATTTTTTTTCTTTTCAAATTAGGAAATATAAGATAAGTTTAACAAAACGTGTATGTAGTTGATTAAATTTTAGGATGATACTACGTGCTTGGTTAACTTTTTTATCAACTAAATTAACCTAAACAAAATCACTAGGGAGAAAAAACTTAATATATATAAATCTAAATGAATATTTTGTTTTTCTTGTTTAACTCGTGCACAACAATACCTAATCCATATGTTAATAAAATAAAATAAGGTAAATTACAAAAAACTACCTTAACTATGGGTTGAACGACATTTTCATACCTCATTTTTTTAAAATGACAATGTCATCCCTCATCTTATGAATTTGCGACAATGTCAGACCTCCGTCAGTTTTTCTGTTAATTTTTCTGTTAAGTGCTGACGTGGCTAATCCAACTAAATTAAAAAATAATTAAATAACAAAAAAAATTTAAAATGGCCTAGGGGTGCGGGCCTCCCCTTTCCTCCACCCGCACCAACCTTCTTTTTCTCTTCAACAGCCACCAAACCCTTCCCCATGCCCCCAACCTTCCCTGACCTATCCCCATCCCCCACCTCTTCCTTTCCCCTACCTCTTCCCGTCCCTTTCGAACCTAAACCCTAACCCTAATTCCCCATTTTCAAACAGAAAACCCCAACCTTCCTCACTCGTCCCCCCAGCCTTCCCCACTCATCCCCCCAACCTTCCTTCACCACCCTCACTCTCCTCTCTCTCTCTCTCTCTGTGGGCTACCCACAGCTCTTCCCCCATCCCCACCCCTACAACCTGCAATTCTCTCCGACTCCCTCCTCCTTCAACAAGATCGGCGACGTCTCGACCAATCTGGCGTCACCCATCACTTGGTCGACCGGGGGGGGGTCGAAAGACGACGTCGGGAAAATCAGTGTCCATAGAGATGAAAGGGTAGGCGTCGATGACGTTTCGGATGAGCTCGAATTTGGATTCCAGATTGTGGGCCTAGACTTCACGGATCACGATGGGCTTTTGGATCGGACTTGTCGAATCTTGGTTGCTGTACCTGTCGGAGACAAATAATTGGAGAGAAAATGGTTTTTATTTTTATAATTTTATTTTGTTGGTGGGAGCAGAGAAGGTTTGAGAAAGCTAAGAGTGTTAAGGTGAGTTTTATAAAGGGGGAGAAGAGAAGAGAGAGAGAAAGAGAGTTGGTGAGGAAGGTTGGGGAGGGGGCCGGGTGGGAAGGGTTTCTGGGTTTTGGGGATGTGGCTGTCTTGAGAGAGAGAAGAGAGAAAGGCGAGAAGGAGAATGAAGAAAGAGGGAGAGGGTGGATCCCACAAATTTATATAAAAAATAATTATATTTTTAATTTATAATATTTAATTATTAAAAATATATTTAATTATTTTTTAATCCTGTTGGATTAGCCACGTCAACACTTAACAGAAAAACAGACGGAGGTCTAACATTATCACAAATTCGTAAGATGAGGTATGACATTGTCATTTTAAAAAGATGAGGTATGAAAGTGTCGTTCGACCCATAGTTGAGGTAGTTTTTTTGTACTTTACCCAATAAAATAAGAGTAGTATATAACAAAGGATAAATAGAATTATAGCATTTTCTAGTAACTTTTTTTTTTTTTTTGAACAAACAATATTATCTACAGGGTGAGGGGGTGGACTTAACCTCACAATGAGTTAGCAATAATGCGGTTCAAATTCACCTTTAACAAGAATCGAACTTGAGATTTCTCACTTATAAGTGAAGATGAATACTAAGTGGCTTTTAGTAACTTTTAATTTAGATTCACACAATTAACTTTATTTTAAGTTTACTAGAAATGGATGACTCGATAAATTGTTTACATGCAGGACCAATGAGCTTGTAAGTGAAGTAATTAAGAGTTCATTTGATAATTGTAACAATATTATTCATTCTTTCTTTGCCAAGAGCAATTGTTAATAGTATACAGCCGCTAGTTTCTGATTTTTATTTTTTTTTAATTGTCGATTATTTGACTTCTTGTGAGTGATGACTAGTGTGCACACCCCTTGAGTGAGTGTGTGAACATTATATTTCTCCCTAGAGTGAAATGTAGCAAAAGATCATGTTTAGTGGGCCTAATGATAATAATTAATTAGTAAGTTAAAATACGATTAGGTGTAATTGGTTTGCTTTTGAAACAATGTTGAAGTGGTCCGCCCTCCACCCTACTGAAATTTGATTAGTATAAGTTACAATATGTTGAATTATTTGGTCTTCGTTCATAGGAGCTTGAGCTTAATTACTAGCGTTGGGTTGCACTAGTTTGACTTTCCATTAATAAGGTCAAACATGTAGCACTTGGTCTACATCACAGTTGCTGGCATGCTGCAACGTTTATTGCGCCGTCTAATTACGCCAGCATGAAGGCGGAGGGAGATTCGTTACCGGAAGACATTCATTTCCGACATCCATCAACTTTTAAGATGACGAATTGACGACGACATGCTGCATGCATCCTGGTTGTTGTACGGTTTAAAGTAAATACTTGTTGGGAGTAGGGAAAATGCTGTAAGACAAGCCCAGCTAACAAAAGTTGGGCTGATGTACAAATTAAGACCAATTGAAGGCCCGATAACATTGGCCTATCCACAAGGCGACCGCGAACTCCTCATACAGTCAAGCTCCCGCTACTGCTACTGCTCCTACGGTCCTACCCCATCTCTTTACCTCAAACGTCTGCAGATGCTGCTGTTTATTTTTCTTCTTTAAATTAAAGAAAATTCTGGTAGAATTAGAAATTTCATGTTTGTTGCCTCCATTTATGAAATCCTTGCTGTGGCTGTAATTGGTCTCTGATCTGAAATTCATAGCCAGACAAAGTAATTAAAAAAGAAAATAAAGATATGATAATTTGACAAAAAAGATAACCAGCTGAGAATTTAGTTGTTGTTTTTGCGTTGTAGGTATTTTTGGGGGAAGGAGTGAGTGTTGGGGTTATGGCTAAAGCCCTTGATTTGCAGGACTTCCTTCTCCGCGGTCGAGTCTTGAAGCTTTATAGGCAAGCACTTGGGATTACCCGAAGAGCCCCCGTTGATTCCAGAGGTCAAATTTTACTCACCGACAATCTTTTACTCAATTTGACACCATAATTACCATATTTCTAAATCAAATGACACATTGTTCCTTGCCCATTGCATCCATTAGTAGTGTTCATCTTTGGGTTTATGTTTCTGTTGATGTGCTTACAGGTGAACTAAGATCGATGATTCGACACGAACTGGAGAACAACAGGCGCTGCAATGACAGGCAACGGACTCGTTTTCTGCTTAGTGAAGGTTTGGAGAGATTGAAACGTCTCAACGACATGCTCGACATGCAAGGTCACTAGTTGTATTCCTTAATTTGTTGAGTTTCTGAATGTCAACATTCCCCTTGTACTCTTAGAACATGAACAGGTGACTCATGCTGCATTTGTTAACATATGATGTTTATTTTGAAATGATTTGCCTTTCTTGATTAGCATATAACAACAACCTTGATGTAAGATTATGACAATAATTATACAGTCAACAAAAAGGTTACAGGAAGCTCAGCTGCGTAACAGTTTTCTGTAAGAAATTGTCAAAATTGTGATCCCAACTCTCAAACATCAATCCATAACGAAAACAGGTAATCCGACGACTAATCTAATACAGACTACACAGCCAACGGCCGTGTAACGAAGCCCCTATCGACCATCTTCTCCACCAACTCCTCATGCTTCTTCAACTGCCCTGCTTTCCTCAACTGTTCTAGAACCATCTCATAAACCGGCATACTCGGTTTCAAGCATTTCTCCTCAATCATCTCCCTGCAAAACCTGTAGGCATTGTTCCAATGCCCCATTCCACAGTACATGGAGATCAAGACCTTGTACGTGTTCACGTTCGGCTCGACTTGGTTCTCATCCATTTCCCTCTTCAGCTTCAGCACCATATGAGTAGATTTAGACTCAACAAACATCTGCATTAATATATTGTAGGTCACCGTGTTCAACTCGCACTTCAACTCCTTCATCTTAGCATACATTCTGTGAGCACCGTTCACATCCTTCAACTTCGCAATGCACCGAAATATGGGATTGAAACTCGATGCATTCGGGGTGCAGCCTTTCTTAACCATCAGATCGAGCACCTTAACTGCATCTTCAAGATTCTCGTCCTTACAATGACACTCTATAAGAAAATTATAAGTAATGGCATCCGCATTGCATCCCAGCCTCTTCATCTGATTATAAACCTGCAACACCTTCTCAGTCCGGCCAGCTTTCACATGAACCCTCATCAGATTATTGAAAGTGATCGAATTTGGCTGGCAACCGGCATCAATCATCTCCGCGAAAACATCATGGGCGCGCGTAATTTGGCCGCACCTACACAAACCATCCATCACAATGCTGTAAGTATACACATTCGGCATGATCCCAGCTGCCTTCATGTCCCGAAACACCTCTCAGCCTCCGAGATATTACCAGCTCGACACCAGCCATTAACCAAGCTAGTGTACAGAACAACATCAACTTCAAATTTATGCTTCAAGCTATCGAAAAACGACTGCGCTTCACTGGCCCTTCTCTTCTTGCACAGAATCCCAATCACTACCGTGAATGCCATCCTATCAGGCTCGCAACCGTACTCCTCCATACGATTAAACGCGTGCACCGCCTCCGCAGCCAATCCGGCCCTCACGTACCGCCTGACAAGAATCGAGAAGGTCTCGACCGTAATTTCAACATTCCGTGCCTTCATCAGGTCGATCACGTGCCAAGCCAAATCGAACTGCCTCACCTTTCCGGCGAGGTCGACCATCTCGTTGTATGGCTCCGACTTCTGCTCGAACCCGTCGCGGGCCGTGGCCCAGTTGAAAAAAGCAACTGCCTGGACCAGAGGGATGCCGTGGCGGACGCCGCCACACTTTTCGATAACGCGGCGGACGACGGAAGGAGATACTGAATGGACGGCGGAGATTTGGGAGAAGTCTTGCGAGAGAGCAGGGATCGTGAAGGTGGGATTCGGGGGAGTGGGGTTGGGATTCGGGTTGGGGTTATTGCGGTGGTGATCTTTGATTAGAGAATGGAATTTGTCGGCAATTAGGGTTTCGTCCGGCGGACAGGTAGGGGGCAGGGGCAGGTTGGGAATCGTCGTCTGGGGTGTCGTTCTCTTGAAGAGGTGCTTCTGAAGCTGAAGAGAGAAAGTAGGGCTTGAGAATTCGCAGCGGAGTGGGAGAGAGAAAGCGGCGGAAATGGAGGGTTGATTTGGTTAACGCCATAGCTGAGCTTCCTGCGAAGACGAGAGAAAGGAGCGGCGGAAAGAACAGAGGGGGGCAGACTGCAGAGGCTGAAGCGCGAAGCTCAGGCCAAAGGCGACGTCGTTTAATTGTCGTGGTACACACTCCCACAAGCAAAATGTTATACAATATGGGCCTGGGTTACCCGGCATAAATGGGCCTGAGTCTTTGTTTCTCTGGGTCAGTGCAGATTTCTGTGCTTCATGTGCTAGTTGTATAGGGATAATGTCGTCACTCGTCACCATAGAAAATACAAATCCAATGAAGAACACCGATTTTTATTTCTGGAATTTTAACAAAAAACTCTAAGTACTTTTTATTTTAACAAAAAATCATATTTTTATATTAAAAGGTCAATTCTGGTACTATTTATTTTACCTTTTATTTTGTCTTTATCGTTAAAACTCAAAGGTTTCAAGTCATTTTCATTAGTTTTCCCTTTTATTTATAGAGCAACTCCTTTTTCTCATCAACATTAACAACAAACATGTCTTCTTTTTCATAACCACTAATTAAGAGGCAAAACAAAATTGAAAAACTAAGGTCAGACAATTAGCATGGCATAATTTACATCTAATGAGAGATTAGAGAAGTATGCACAAACCTAAACAAACAAAAACATTCATAAGAGTCGTTTACTGTGGTATGCATCATACTTTGGTAAGCATAATATCTCCCCAAATAACCGGTCAATCCAAACCCTAACCTTCCTAACGACAAACTTGTCAATGAACTCAAACAATCCTTCATATGGAATCTCAACGTCTATAATATCATCATTTGCTTCTCTGGACGTCCAATACACTCTTGATCCATCTTTCACCTTCATATAATTCCCGTATGGACTCTGTGACAAGGGAGGGGGCGGTGTCTTCCACGGCTTTAACGGAATCAATTCCTTCAGTGCCGACAAGCTCGGGGACCGATGAGCAGGATCCATTTACAACACTCTGAAAACGTTCAAATCCAAGGAAGTAGGCAGTAATAAAATGGCTGTAAAATTGCTTCAATTTATATTTTATAGTGGTGCAATAAGTATACCTCTCCTATGATTTGTGTGCGTTAGTTTAGTCATACTTGAATACTAACTAGTATGCTAATATGCTAATTTGAATTTCAATTTCGACACAAAATTAATGGCACAGCGTGTACTATAGCTGGCCTTCATAATTACAATTTGATAAGGATTCAACTGATGGTAAGCTAGAGAATAAAATATTTATGGTGTGATCGAGTAATTACTGCAATGTGCCGGTCCTTTATATTCGAGTTCGAATCCTTATTCCCATCGAGTAGAGTAGTTTGATATGTTTTAGAAAGCAGTCACGGACTAGGAATTAAATTGTTTAAGATGAATGGAACAACTAAGAAATAATTCGTAATTAACACCGTTATAGAGTGAAAAATAATGTGCAGAGCCAATCAAGGGCTTGGAAAATCAGCATGTCCAATTTCCCTTGTACGGAGACGGAAAATACAGCTATATTATTTGGTAAATCAGGAAATACATTAATGAAAATATTTCTCTTCTTTTAACCATATTGGTAATTAACTCGTTGGCATAATTCTCATTTCCTCTGAAGCTCATCATGATAACCGCGAATGTACAAAAATGTCGAATCCCTCTGAAGCCCATCATCACGCGAAACGACATAGTTTTCCAAGCCCTTGATTGGAAATTGGACACCGGCCCTCGTGAAAAATACGTGTTCAATTTCTTCTGGACAGACACGTAGTGAAGGAAGAGAAACACCTCAACGATGAGGAGGAGAGTTGCTGAATCGGCCGCGACTCACCAGCACTCGGAGGGAGACTCTCGAGGCGTGCTGTGGCGGGACTCTCGATTGCTCATCGGCGGGCATGATGCGGTGCAGTCGGCGATAGATAAGCTCGCCGAGAAGCAGTGGCAGCAGATTCAGAGGGGGCGAGGAGGGGGTCGAGATTAAGCAGTTTAAACGGTTGGATTTTTGAGTTTCTGCTGTTGTTGTAAAGATGTGATTGGGCATGTAATGTTATCTTGTGTGATAATTTTTCAATGATTAAATAATGAATTTACAGAAATAGGCTTAGCTATATTTTAGCTGCATTCCATTTTCTGAGACAAATTATAATAACCAATTACTAGAGCTCGAGGTTGGTTTGAAGAGAAGATAATTCACCATAGAATCGAAGAGGCTAGTGCATCTTGTTAGAGTATGAGTGTGATTCTCACAATTTAGTAATAATCTTTGTTATTTCAGATTGATATAAAGAAGTTTTAATGTATTTATAAGAATTAATTCAACTTTGGTTTGAATTGAAACTCTACTGTTGATTCGAGAATAGAACTCAAACTTGTACAAGGATTTAGTCTTGTATTCCTTGTGGGATTGTTATAGGGCGATCCGGGTCTTCTAGTATAAAACCGCAAGCCCCTGCTCTCACAAAGATTACACTCTTATTGTTCTAGTTACCCATAATTTGGAGAGCATTGAGTTTTGCAGAGAGGAGAGGGTTGTGTGCAAATTTTCATGGCTTCTTTATCCGTGAACATGTCTGCATGTATGTGTTGTATATAATACATACATGGTATAACGATTATGATTTAGTTGATTGATCCTTGTGTTCTTGGCTAGTGTATTAATCTTTTAAGGCCATTTTTATGTGAATGGGTTATGTGTCTGTGATTGTGTGATGTGTTGGACGAAAATACTCAATTTCACTCTTGACCCAGAGGAATGACTAAATTTGATGGTTTTTGTAGGACGTTGTTTCTTTGTATAAGCTGAATAAAGAAAATTAATTAATTAGACCGCAAGAAAAAGAATGTAATCAGATTTTATTATTCAAAACCTGGAAGCAGAAAATAAGAAAATAATCCTGAGTCATAACCAGGGTGCAGCCCACAGCACAGCAAAAGCGGGAAAATAAAACCGCAATCCACAAATCGCTAAAATACCCCCGTCATTAACCCCGCCCAAAATATAAACACCAGGGTAATTTCGTCACATTGAATAGTTTATTGTTAGCCTTCCGATCTATAAATCACGACGCATTTCAAAAGAACTCAAACTTAACTCAGAATTTAAGCACTCAGCGCTCGCTTTTGCATGAGAATTTCGCATCAGAGCTCTAGGATTTCGGAGCTCGTTCAAAAATGGCCAAGGGGAGGTACGGTCGGTTGCAGAGCAAGAAATGGTCGGCGTTCACGCTCGTCTTGTCGATGCTGTTCGTGCTGTCGGTGGTGCTTCTCATGCTTCTCGCTTTTGGAATCGTGTCGCTTCCGGTCAGCACCGACGGCTCTTCACCTAACGATCTCAGCTCCTTTAGGCGGAAGATCGTCGAGAGGTACGCATTTCGCTCGTAAGTCCACGGTCGTGATGAATTCGCTTTCCTTTTAATATATTTTTTTTTTTTCCTGGATTTAAGTAAAAATAAACGTAATCATATTTTTCCAGAAGTGATGGATTGGGGAATAGAGGAGAGCAGTGGACGGAAGTGATTTCTTGGGAGCCCAGAGCCTTCATATATCACAATTTCTTGGTTAGTTTTCCTCGTTTTAATTAATCTATCTGTTTGGCTTGATCTTAATTTTCTGTTTTATTCGAAATCGGTGGTGTTGGTTATTGTTGGAGAATGTTAATCTTAGATATGATTTTGGACAGTCCAAGGAAGAATGTGACTACTTAATTAATCTCGCTAAACCTCATATGGTAAAGTCAACTGTTGTTGATAGCAAGACTGGGAAAAGCAGAGACAGTAGGTATGCATTTCTAAGCATTTCGATCACCTCCCTACATGTATAAAATAAATATAGTAGCGTGATACCCTCGAAATCCTTTTCTGCAGCGTGCGCACAAGCTCCGGAATGTTTCTGAGGAGAGGACGCGATAAAATAATTAGGGATATCGAGAAGAGAATAGCAGACTTCACTTTCATACCCGTAGGTACGTGACTGCTAGACGTAGTTACCTACATTACACTACACCTTTGCGTTTCTTCCAATCCAGATTTTTACTTTCCTCAGTTCAGATACACACTAATTCTGCTGATTTTCATTCTGACAGAGCATGGGGAAGGACTTCAGGTTCTCCACTATGAAGTTGGGCAGAAATACGATGCGCATTTTGATTACTTCGCAGATGAGTTCAACACCAAGAATGGCGGACAACGGGTTGCAACTCTTTTGATGTATCTGTAAGACGGCTTTTCTCTTCCCATATGGTTTTTCTCTTTTGATGTATCTGTCTCGTGTCTTATTGTATGCTGCTTTTTTCTTTGTCAATGTTCCCTTTCCCAATTGCCATTTCTTGCCATTGATTCAGGTCAGATGTTGAACAAGGCGGTGAGACGGTGTTTCCTACTGCAAAGGGGAGTATCAGCTCTGTGCCATGGTGGAATGAATTATCTGAATGTGGTAAACAGGGACTTGCAGTGAAACCTAAAATGGGTGATGCATTACTGTTCTGGAGCATGACTCCTGATGCTACTCTAGACCCGTCAAGTTTGCACGGTATGCTATTTTGCACTCTCCGCTCTCTGTTTTTCTTGGGATTGTTATTCATATTATATGTTGTTACAGGTGCATGCCCTGTGATAAGGGGTAACAAGTGGTCGTGTACAAAGTGGATGCATCTTCAAGAGTACAAAGTCTAAGTCGTTTTATGTTAAGCCGTGCAGGTCGTCTATGGAAGTTAGGAGATTTACAATCACTGACAAATGCGTATGGTATGGTCTGAAACGCCGTTCACTTGATTTGCTGGTCTAACCAGTACTCAATTTAGGGATTTCGGGCATGTCTTTAAGCAAGTTATACCAAAACTACAATTTTTTACCGGGTGGAATTTATGTAATTACAAATTCTTTTTAACCTTTACACTGTTCTCATTATTTCTATGTGCTCACATTTTCTCAATTCTTACATTCTGTTGTACTATTAGCACTTAAATTCTTCAGTTTTCTTGTACTACTGTACTGGTAGGCTGGTACGAGGATCATTCTTATTCATTATTTATCTTTAATAACCAGATTCATAGTGCGTCAATCCTAGTTTATATGCCTTGACGGCATGTTCGATCCTTTTATTGAGCAAAATTTACAACAAAAATTGCAGCAGGGACATGAATTGAGTACA